GAGGAGGAAAACAGACAACCCAATAAGAGGGGGATGGGATAGAGTTCTTTCACAATAGTTATTTTGCATGCATGCCTGATCAAAATTTATTGTGTGATTAACCAGTTAATGGTGTGACAAATTACTTTGCACTTGTAGCTGGTCTTACTGTCAGTCTAAATTTATTTCATGACTAACTAGTTAATTGCATGATACATGTAACATGTAGCCGGGGCTTATAAAATGACTATCATTATACCACATTTCATTCAAATACTATGCATCTCTATTACTTCTCTTACCAAGCTCACTGTGAGGTTATCAATGTCAGAAAGCTGAACTTGACCATCTTTTTGGCTGTAAAGTTCTTATTATGTATGCACTTAAATTTTTATTCCCCATTTCTCTCAAATCCTTGAGCTCCATGCCTTTTGGAATCCCTTTTGCTGCACCAGCCACCCATGACAAGATGTATCAGGGTTTTTTTCTAACCCCAGTTTTAAAATGTACTTTTTTTATTGAGAGGAAATTGCACCCTAAATTTCTGTTGTTATAAAATAGCTGAGTCCATATACCTACCTGCTGAAGAAAAGTTTTCCATTTTAATATGTTAGAAATAGACAAGCTAACAACCAAAAAACAGCTATTATTTTACCTTCCATGATGCATGTTGGATAGTTAATTTTTCCACGATTACAATGAGTTGTTAGCTGAGATGTTCTGGTAGATTGTGACAACTCATACCCCTGTTTACATAAAAACTCTATGATGTCCCCATGTAGGAAAATTAATTCTCCTTCCAGTCTCCATTTCAGCAATATGTTGTTATTGTTCAAGACATGTTCATTAATAGCGCATGGTTCTGGAAGATAAACATTCATACTGACACAAATATTTATAATAATAAATAGGAAGGTTTGCTGGGGAGGTGCAAAACATCCTGGGATGACAGTTAACTTGAATCTGGAGGATATCTGGGACAGAAGTTCAATACATTAATTTAATCTAAATCAGTTAAACCTGATACTACAGCATCCAGGTTTATCTTAAACTGGTTTTGGCCATTTTGAAAAGTTTATGTGCATTGAATTTATGTTGCATTACAGATTTGAACAGGTTTCCAGTCACTTTCATTGGCTCGTGTGTAATTTCTGTCCCTAGCCATGTTGCCAATAGTCGAATTATATTTTGTCCAGCTTCTGTGTAGACGGATAAACTGGATTTTGTGTCACTTTCAGCACTCTATATATTATATAGCTTTTCTACTAGACTTACCTAAGCAAGCTGGCTGAGGTGTCCAGTTTCCCTCGACACAGTGTACAGTTTCAAAGCCCTCCAGGACATGGTAATGTTGACATGTATATTGCACTGAGGAACCTGTCTTGTAATTTGTCAATAATGGGCCAACAACAGCACCATTTTGAATTAGAGGTGGGGAGGTACAGTTTTCCTGCATTTCTAAGAAAAAAACCATGGATTAAAAAGAAAATCAGTGTGTGTAATATAGATCAATAGAATCTACACACATGCAGAGTTAGATTTAGTATACAGAACTATATAGACACAAGCATTAAATGGATAGTAACAGAATAAATGCAACTAAATTTCCAAGGAAGTGAAACCTACAGAATACAAATTTAAGGTCACAATCTCTTTAAACCAATTCTAAGAACTTAGTTACATATTCTCTCATAAGAATGAGTTACAAAAAGAAATGGAGCCTTACATGTGTACATGCCATTCAGACTTCTTGCCGCACTCATCCTTCCTGGATCTTGTCCACAGATTCATAGATGGGTTAGGGGCTGGAAGGAAACTTGCAGATCATTGGGTACAGCCCCCCCACTCTAGGCAGGAAACAACTGGGGTTAGGTGACCCCAGTGAGGTGACTGTATAGTCTCCTATTGAAAATCTTCAGGGTAGGTGAATGCACCACCTCTGGGGGAGTTTATTCCAGTCTGGATACCCTGATGGTGAAGGAGTTTTTCTTGGTATTAAGCCTGAAGTAGCAACCCACTTCTATTCAGGAGTCCATATCCATTGGTCCTGGTCTTCCCCAGAGGTTGTTCACCGAGCTCCTGATGCACTACTCTGATATAGCACTAAGCCACTATCAAGTCCCCTCTCAACCTTCTCTTCTTTAGGTTAGAGGCCCAAGTCCCTCAGCCTTTCCTCATATGGCTAGCCTCGCAAATCCCTGATCATATGGGTGGCTCTTTTCTGGACCCTCTCAAGTTTTTCCATGTCCTTATTGAAGTGCGATGCCCAGAACTGAACACAGTACTCCAAACTGCAGTCTCACCAGTGCCAAGTACAGCAGGAGCATCGCTTCCTTAGTTTTACACGAGATGCATCTGTTGATGCATGCCAGCATGTTGTTTGCCCTGCTGACCCACCACCTCACACTGATGGCTCATATTCATGCAATGATCAATCATTATACCTAGGTCCCTTTCAGTCGCGGTGCAAGTCAAACCATCACCACTGATTCTGTATGTATGTTGAGGGTTGTTTGCCCCCAGATGGAGCATTTTACACTTGGAAGTGTTAAACTTCATCTGGTTCCAGTCTGCCCAACTCTCGAGCCTGTCCAGGACCACACTGCCCCATAACTTGGTGTCATCCGTAAAGTTGGCCAGTGAGCTTTTCACTCCCCCATCCAAATCATGATAAAGATGTTGAAAAGCACTGGTCAAAGCATGGACCCCTGGGGGACACCACTGACTACTTTGCGCCAGGATGACACAGATGCATTTGTGAAAACTCGGGGTCCTACCCTGTAGCCAGTTTCCCACCCACTGAACCATCAAGCAGCTGAGCCCTTCAATCTTCCAGTCCTCACAAGGATATCATAGGATACTAGATCAAAAGCCTTTTGGAAGTCTAGGTATATAACGTCTACCATGTCTCCCAGCCTCTGGTTTTGGGTTATATTCTCCCGGACTGTGGTTTTGGGTTATGTTGATGTAGATTGAATGTTTGTTTGTGAAAGGACTGTCTTTACTTGTTTTCTGAAGTGTCTAACATGTTTCTGGGTGTTCAAAACAAACGAAAAGGGACCTCACAGAGGCCATCAAAAAAACCGAAAGAATAACTAACAATGTTCCTGAATATTAATTTTTCAGCAACACTGTAAACAGTTATAAGTGCTAACATCCAGCAACTAACAGGCATTTAAGTGAAAATACAGTGTATAATTGTAATACAAAAAAATCCATAGTGTAATAGTTCTGCATGAACTGTGTTTACATTGTAATAATGTTGTATGCCTCAGTTTTTCCAACTAGCTTGTACACAGGGAAAGAAGGGTAAATAGAGTCCCTGCTAAGACAAGACAAGATGGACCTCCAGCAACGAAAGAACTGAATAGCATTGTTGATACTTCAGGTGGACTTGGTAACTCATCCTTTGGAGAAGACAGATGAGCATCACAACAGACAGAGTAGTACCAGAAGAGTGTTGGCTGTAAACTGGAGAAAGTCTAAAGCAAGGAAAGAGACAGGTACCTTTGGGGTGCTTTGAGGCTGTAGATTGGATAGAGAATAGTTGAGCTATGTTTGGGGTGCTCTGGGCTGTACAGGGTGGACTGCAGACAGATAGACTTGCTTAATCCTTTGGAGGAGGAAAAGCCATCTTCCTTGATAGTTTCTCTTCAACAAAGAAAGATAATGAGCTATCTATCCGTTTCACTGCTTGGAACCTGGGAGATATTCTTTTCTCCTTTTAACAAATAAAGTCCCTCTGTCAAGAGATGAATTGGAAGGAAGTCCAATGAGGCAGGACCACAAATAACCAGAGATGTTCAGGGCCAGGGTCTCAGTCAAAGGGAGTTGGAGCCCTGCTGACTCTCTCAAGAAGTAATGCCTAGGCTGGCTCCAGGTGGCACTCAGGAGACCAAATGAGGCCAGAAGTCCCAAGCATGTGCTTCTCTGGGGGACACAATGTCAGTAATACATTTTGTTAAAGGCTGATAAAAAAAGGTCCCTAAATCTATCTACCCAGGATTTTATATCAGCATCCATCCTTGTGGTATTTGAGCACCTCCCAGAAAAGGATTTATAAGCAGATTACTTACTGGTACATTCAGGAGGTGATGTCCATTTTCCCATTTCACAAATTATTTCCTTTAACCCATTTATATGGTAGCCATGATCACATCTGTACCTAACTGTGTCTCCACTATAATACATCTTGTTCTCAGTTATGGCTGTACCCTTCTCAATAGAAGGCGGCTGTTCACATGCTGCTACTTCTTGGATTCCTAAAACCACAGTAGAAATGTTTAAACCATCTCTATCCATCATTCATACTTGCAAACTATTTCCTCTCCCCCTCACCTTCCCCACAATTAACAATAATACCCAGCCATCATATTGTACTTCTCCATAGATCCCAAAGCACTTCACAGAAGAGGTAAGTATTCTTATCAGGGAAACAAAGAGAAGAGGTGAAAATTAAGGCATGCTTTGACAAGTGTAATTCAGACCCAGCCTTTGTAAAGCTACTGACCAATGCAAACAGGGGGTAACAACCATTTTCCATTCTGACACTGGATTTCTTCTGATCCATTCATTTTAAAGTTAAGCTGACACTTCAAACGAACTCTGTCTCCATTATGATATGTTCTTAAATCTGAGAGTACAATGGCATGAGGAGGTTTAGGTGGAGGAGGACATTTAGTTCTTCTGTCTAGAAAGAAAACAAGCATTTATTTGGGCAGGTAGTAGAAGTTTTAATCAGATTACCTTTATCAAGGAAGTAAACTGGTTTCTTAAACAGAAGTATACACAAAAATACTTTCATTTCAGTGCCTGAACCAAAAGAAATCCACACACACTACTCAAAATATAGTTCAGAATAAATTTTCCCTTTTCTTGCAAAAATGAAATAAGAAAAACTTTTTTTAGAGCCATTTTCTCTTTCAGTTGACGTTTAAAAAAATATTGAATTATGTCATTTGTAAATGTGAAAGAGTTAAGAAGTTCAATAGATCCATCTGTTTTAATGGAAGTATTTTATTCAATAGTGCACAAAAAGAAATTATTATTATTATTATTATTATTATTAAAGTTTCTCTTAGCAAATTTACTCTTTATGAGAACTTATTACAAAAATTACCCCCCAAAATTATGCGTATTTGGCTTAAAATTAATTAAAAAATAACAAAATAGATCTCTAAACTGTGACCCCCATTCCCTCTACTCATCCTCAGTCTACCCTTTTTAAAATACAAGGATGATTCTATCATAGAATTGCATGTCATAGGACAATATGAAACACCAAGAGGTTCAAGACTTATTTCTCAAAATGGAAAGAAGCCCAGACAAGATTACAGCTCCTAATAATTGAAGTATGTCAGAAGTATAACACGTGCTCAGTTAGCTCCAACATACATTTGGGCAACCTACTGCTACACACCCTACCTGCCAGTAGCAATGACTGAAAACCAAGTCTTTGAATTGCCAGAAATTTCATTTTTTGAAATTTGATTTTAGTCTAACTAAACAAAAGTAAATGTTTTTTAAAAAAAGCCCTGTGAACTGAAAATTTCCTAGATTCTGGGTACATCTACACATGCCACTATGGCAATGTTCTTACCGCGCCATAACTTAGTACTTCCTTTTGGAACAGCCTGTACTGTGCTGTACACACAGCGCATGGTTATTTTTAGCAGCTACTTTGCCGTAGCAGCACACTATACTGGGGGATTACGTCACTACGGCAAAGTAGTGGCTGGTGATGTGTAGACACTCATGGATGCTATATTGCCATAGCACACTGCTCTGGTGATGTAGCGTTACACGAGGTTCACAACTAATAACTGTGACAGGGGCAAGCTTTCATGCCTGGTGCAAGCACCGGCCTGCCCCCTGTCTACAGGTCAGCCGCCTGCCTCACTCTCCTGCCACACCTTGATGTAATAATTAGGCGGAAGGCTTCCCCTTCTTGCCCCAATGCCAGGGAGCACTATCTGCAGCTCCGTTCCTCCCCTACACTGTAGCCCAAGCCTCGCAGATGGCATCCAGGTGACACAATGCTCCCAGCCTACAGCTGGACCAAGTTTAGCCCTTGTTGTCAGGCCTCAGACACACACACATTCATACTGCCCTCCTCCCACTAAGGCCTCTCATGCTCCACCCCCTCTCACAGGGTCTCTTTCACGCATCGACAACTTGTTCCGCCTTGCTTCCTCTCGGAGCCGGCCCCTTCGGCCATAGGCTTTATCTGGCAGACGTACCATCTTTTGGGCCTCTCCTGCGACCCTCACCGGGGTAGTGGCCAGCCAGTTACCCAACCGGAGCTAAGCTTGCCCTGGCTCCTTCCAGGGCAACTCTATAGACTACACACACACACACACACACACACACACACACACACACACCAGGCTCCCAGCCCTCTGGTTTCCCTCTCATTGGGGATCCATATTACCGTCCCCTACCCTTACTGGGGCTCCACATCTCCTATTCCCTGCCTGGGGCTACAGGGCTTCCCTCCCCGGTGGGGGCTCAGGTGCCATAGCCGTGCCTGGCCCCAACTGCTACAGACAGTTATGTGGGGGTTAGGGATTACTGAGATGCCTTGACCGCCTTCAACTGGGGTGGTAACTGGTCTAGTATTTTCCTGGAGGCTCCCGTGCCACTGGGAGCCCCACCAGGCCACCCACTCCAGGCAGGGTGCAGTTTTAGGTCATGCCCAGGACCAAGAGCTTCCTGCTCCTACCTGCAGATGTTCCATTCAGCAGTTCAGCCAGGCAATGTTTCTGCCTGACCTGCCAGCAGCAATCTGCTCTGTTTATATAGGTAGCCAGCATCTCAAAATGGCTGCCGCAATCAAGCACCTGCCAGCTGTTTGGCTCAGCCTTTAAAGTAGCAGGCACCATCAGTGCCCTGTCACAAGCTGCAAGCGAAATATGTACGAGAAATAATGGTAGCAGAACCCGAAGAGTTCTAGACAATGTACTCTATTTCAGCTTTCATGAGGAATCTAGCTCATTGTAGTCAGACTAGTGCCAGTATACCATATTTTCTTGCACACACATACCTTTTTCCTTAAAAGCCAACTGCTGGAAATTGGAGCGCGCACCATATGCCAGAAGTATGGCAGGTAAAATGTGCAGTGATCCACAGAGTGCAGAACAATGGTTTGGCTCCCTACCTGCTCCTGCTCAGTTACTTAAAAGGATTTTTTTTTTCTTCATCCTGCCTTTCTAAAACAGGGTGAGTACTACATCCAGGGGTTTGTTTATGAAATATGGTATTTATACCGTGTTTCTGGGATGATGTTGCTATATCATTTTCACTGAGCCAGATAAAGGGAGTTCCCAATATGTGAATATTTTAACTTTTTCCCTGTTTATGCTAGTCTAGAAAAGGATTAGAACAAAATAGCTCTTCATCCCTAACTGCAACACTTATACAAAAAATGCCCATGCCTTCCTGAATAGTGTACTCAAAAGCAAGCAACCCACTTCCATCACATTTTGACCAATCCATTCTTCTTTGCATAATTTACACAGAGATTAAATGTAATTCTTTTTTTGTAGTTCATCTTGTTAAGAATCTAGTGCAGTAGATGGATTCAAGCTAACAAATGTTTCATTTTTACCTGGGAATCTACCCATATCTTGGGCCTTATTGTTAGATAGTAAGCCCTTGGGACAGGGACCAATGGGCACCAGAGTCTAGGACTAGGTCTCATAAACATAACAATAATGGAGTTACCTTCACATAATGGAGGCTCTGGATACCATCCGAAAGAATAACACTGAATTAAATCAGATCCACTGAATGAATAGCTTTCCTGACAGAAAAATTGAACCACATCTCCTTCTTCATAGGTTTTCTTCACAGGATAGAAACGTCCATGTTCCATCACACTTAAAGAGCAAGTTAACTCTAGATAGAAAGAAAGAAAAATAGAACATACACTGGGAAAAGCAGCATTAAAAAGCACCCAGTGTCTACATACTTTTCTGCAATAAGAAACAAAGGCTGCAGTGTTAGAGAACTTCTGAAAGGTTAAGTGAAGCTATTTAAAGGACAAAAACATACTAGTGCAGTTTGGAGTAAGAGACCATCCATGTGGATGACATGTCACCTCTTCAGTCATGTTCCCTCCTGTGGTCCGATACCCATCATCACATTCATATATCAGGGCTTCATTCAACTTGAGCAATCGTTGGGTTGTGATGTAACGACCATACTGTAAATCTGGTGCTAAGCAGCTGTCTTAAAAATAATGGAAATACATATTTAATACCTACTCTGCTTAAAACCACAGAGTTTTAACATTTTATCATTGATTCCCATTTAAGTCCCAAAATGTTAGCAGACCAGTCAAATTTGAAAACAAAACTTTGCAAACAATTTGCAAGTAGCAGAATCATTAAGTGGGTGGGGGTTAAGCCTGTGATATCCATTTTTGAACAAAGTTTAGAGGGGACTGAATTCCTTTGCAACATACATATCGCTTTACATTTGATATTTCTTTCTTCTTCCACTATTGGTGTATTAACTTCCTGAAGCATTCACTAAGGCACAATGACGACCCCATAATTAATGCAGATGCATGACAAATTGATCCAAGGAGATGATACTTCCCCTCTATGTGGCAATGGTCAGACCACAGTTGGAGTACTGCTTCCAGTTTTGGGCACTGTACTTCAAGGTTGTTGAGACTCGAGAGGGTCCAGAAGAGGGCCACTCATATGGCTAGGGTTTTATAGGACAAGCCCTATGAGAAGAGATCGAGGGACCTGGACCACCTCAGCCTCTGCAAGAGAAGGCTAAGAGGTGATCTTGAGGCTGCCTACAAATTTGTTAGGGGAACGCAGCAAGGGATCGGAAATGCTCTGTTCACTAGGGTGCTTCTTGGTGTAACAAGGAACAACGGTCACAAACTGACGGAGAACAGGTTTAGGCTAGATATCAGGAAAAGCTTCTTCATGGTAAGGGTGGCCAAAATTTGGAATGGGCTTCTAAGGAAGGTGGTGCTCTCCCCTACCTTGGGGATCTTTAAGAGAAGGCTGGATAGGCATCTGGCTGGGGTCATCTGACCCTAGCCCTCTTTCCTGCCTAGGCAGGGGTTGGGCTTGATGATCTGTTGAACAGAACTTGTGTGTTATGTCCAGCTATATTTGCAATAAGACTCTACCTCCTAAAATCTTACATGTCAAAGTAATACAAAGGGTAGCCACAATCCTGTTTTTATATGTGAAACAGTGAGCTAAATTTTGCTTTGCTTTATAAGAAGCCATCAATGCAATTCTACCGATTTTTCTACTTTAAATCAATTTGCTGAATTATTAACATTTCTTTTAAATGTTAACATCTCTTATATTATAATATCATGTAATGTGGCAATGTAACATCAAAAGATATTATCATCTATTATTGTCCATTAGGTTCCATTTTAATTATGGGGTCACAATTATGCCTTAGTGAATACTTCAGGAAGTTAATGTACCAATAGTGGAAATATAAAGAAATAAAGTATAAAGAAATAAAGAAATGTAAAACAATATTTAGATAGTTCTCCCATTAGAGAATGTATAAGGTTTCAATACTTTATGTTTTCTTTAACTACTTGGTGCAGGATCCTGTATACATTTACATTCAAGCTTAACTTTAAGTCTGTGAATGAGTAGTTCGAAGGGAGTCAACTAGTGTAAACTTGCATAGCTCCTGTGATTGAAAAGAGCTGAGAATATGCCCCAATGTTTTCAAGATACCTTAATTTATGACAATCCAGATGTAAGGTTTTTGTAAGGCAGAAAAGTAACAAAGCCAGTCCGCGTGAAAAAAATGCAACCACATACCAGACATTTTAGCACAGGCTGGTTGGGAAGACCATCCTTCTGTACGACACTGTATTGTTTCTTCAGTGTTACCACTTGGGGAGTGGTAGCCTGAAGCACATCTGTATTGCAATTTCTCTCCTATTTTGAAAGATTCTTTTGTACCAGAGAAAAAGCCATTTTCCAAGGGAGGTTTGTTACATTTTTCTAAATAAAAGGCCATAGTTAGAAAAAGGTAAACTAACAGAACATTATACCTAACTCTATTTTATTGGGTAAATAAAGTTTTTCTCCCCTCCTTGCTTACAGTAGAAAAATGAGTAGTCCAACATATTTGTATTTGCTTACTCTTCTAATAAAAGAAAATCAACACAAAACATTATATATTGAAATCAGAAGATAATAGTTGCAGAATTTGGACTGGGAGGAGGTTCTCAGTTTCTTCTGGCTACCTTTCCCTATTTTACTTCACATTACTATTGCAGCACATGCAGCCTTGGCACAAGTGAGCCTTGTAATGTTGGAGACAATTTTCAGAGCTGGAGAAATCTCCTGAAAGTCTAAATTAAAGACTAAAAACTTCCTCCTTTTCAGTGGATCAGAGAAGAGATAGACTTCTCTGCCAGAAGCAATTTATGGTCATCAGGAAAAGAACAAACGCAGTTAAGTTCAGCGAGGATAGCTTCTCCATCTGCTCAAAGTGCCTTTTTGTTTGTTTGTTTTTTTAACTTAACAGGAGAACTGGGGAGGTACAGATGGTCTTCTCATACCCAAATATTCTCTGGGCTTTTCAATAAACATGTAACCAGTCAGCTCCTGCAGATGCCAGGATCAGCTGCCAGTCCCACAGCCCCTGCTGAATGGTTTATCAGGAGGTAGGGCCTCTATATAGAAATGTGAAGATTACTGAAGAATGGCAGGATTAGATTGAACTAAAATCTGACCAAGAGAACAGTCATTTGTTCACCAGAAAGGGGAGTGGAGCTCTTTTAAAGAACAAGCACTCTTGAAAACACAAGGTTGACATTACAAAATTTCTTTGTGAAGACCTGATTTTGGTTATATACCCTAACTTTTCTCTAACCCTCCATTGCTACTCTTTTCAGGGACATCCACTGAAATCACCCTTAGAAGCAATAAGGCCAGTAAAGTTAACTTACTGTAACATTTTGGTGCTGGAGACCATCCTTCTGCTGTACAGGTTATCTTCGCATCTTGACTCCCCGAACCAGTTGTATAGCCAGCCAAACAGGCATAGGACATTTTTTTGTTTTTACTCATTGGAAAATAGAAACTCTTAAAATTATAATAATACTGGCCAATCTTGCCATTTTCTATGTGTGGCAAATCACAAGGTTTATCTAAAAAAAACAACATAGTAATTAGAGAACAAAATATTTATAATTATTTTCCCCCTGCATTTAAAAGAGATGATTTCATTTAAAATTCATTGTCTTGCCAGAATTCTGTCCAGATATGGAGCCCAGCATGAAATTAAATTCTACATTTACATACTGAGATTCCATTCTACAACCACCTCTCCAACAAGAAGCTGATCTGAAGTCACATGACTGGCTGGATCTTGGTCAATGGTTATAGAAACAACCCAAAGCATTTCTTATCATCTTTTCTGATACCTCAGGGCCATGACAAAACTAAATGAAAGTAAAAAGACAATGTATTTAGAAAAGAGAAGTCAAACTTATGGCTGAAAGCATCTCAGTTGATCTGTTTGCATTACAGGCTTTAGATTTTGGACAATCTTCTATTTTAGTTAGAAAGTGTCTTTGTCTCAAGGTTGTAGAAAAGTACATGGAAATAAACTCCCAAATGAGAATAAAGCAAAACTAATCCAGTGATGATGATGAAGCAACTGTTACCACACATATGTTGGAAGCATGAGGGCCAGAAAGCCAGCAACAGGTAGAATGGTCAATGTCAATAAGACCTTGGGCACCCAACGGAGTGCCATAAGGACATTCATAGATGATGTGGTCAGCCAGCTGAGCTTGAGCACCATAGCTCTCTAATCCAGTGAGATATTCAGTCATCCTGTAACAATGACAAACATGCAAAAACTCTCCAGAAATAAACACACCAGTATCCGCTACTCCAAAATAAATAGCATCAAGTATCACTGTTAACTATTTCACTGATGCTTACATAAACAGATAGAATGGGAAAAGTGTAGTGCTGAAGTTGGAACTGGGCATTGTTACAGGGTAGGAAATGCAGAATATGGTATTAATAAGGTATCAAATAGCAATACTTAATTGTTTAGATGCTATATAAAGAATACATCAGTCCTTTGACACCCCCCCTCTCTCTGCATCCCCTGCCAACTTCCAAATAACTCCAAGAGATCAGTGTAAAATGAAGCAAGTGGCATCTCATATGGCATCCCAGAGCATAATTTAACATGGAGTCAAATTAATTAAGCACCCCAAATTTCCTTTCATTTGTTAGAACAACAACAAAAAAAAACTAGCTAAAAGCAACCACGATTACCACTATCTGGCTTGATACATAACCTATTGTTGAACTGGTCCCTGACTGAAAATGCTTTTATTTGGCACATACAGTATTTGGTTGGAGTTTTTTTGGTTTTTTGTTTGTTTGTTTGTTACACATGTGTCACTCCCAACATGACATTTGAGAAAACAAGCGGGTCATTCACAAGATTCATAAGTGACTTAAGCAATTGAAATGAATGCCACCAACACATTTTTAATTTACCCTATACAATGGCATCTAGACGTTAAATTAACAGGTTGCTCTAGTTTTTTAAACAGAATAAAGCAGTAGCACATGCCTGTTTTAGAGCAAGTGTTTATTATAAGAGGTATCATATATTCTAGTTAGAGGAAAAGCAATGCATTGTACAAAAGAAACTTGAAAATCATACACATCTAATTCCTTAACCACATTTAAAAGGGGAAGGCAAAAGAGAAACATAACAACAATTGCCATTGACTGGGTCAAAACCATAGGTCCATCTTGCGCAGTATTCTGTGTCACCCAGCAGAGAGGGTGGATGCTGAAAGGGAAAGTGAACAAGCTAGGACCAGAGATTTTTTCTGCTGCTACTCTCCTACTTGCAACCTCTAGTACTTAAGGTCTAGGAGGTTCTGATTCAGAGGCTGTACACCTAACTCTCATGAACTTTTCCGCTAAGAATTTGTCCAGTCCCTTTTTGTCTAATCCCTTCTGGCAAAGCGTTCCACACTTTAATTACACACTGTATGAGAAAACTTCCTTTTACTAATTTTAAACTTACTACCTATTAGTTTCATTTTATGACCCCTATTTCCTGTATTATGAGAAAGTAGATGATACATCTTTATTTACTTTCTCTTCACTATTTAGTATTTTGTAAACCCTTATCATGCCCCGCCTTCAAGCATTTATTTTCTAAATTGAATAAGCCTAGCGTCTTTAGTTTCTCCTCATATGGAAGCCTCCATACCACTAGTCATCCTTGTTGCCCTTCTTTGTACCTCCTCTAGTTCTTCTATATCCGTTTTGAGGTGTGAAGACCACAACTGGGTACAGTAGACAAGGTCTGAGCACACCATGAATTTATAAAGGGGTATAATGATACTTCCCATTTTGTTTACAATTCTCTTCATAGTTTCATAGTTTCATAGTTTCAGGGTCGGAAGAGACCTAATAGATCTTCTAGCCCGCCCCCCCGCCAGGGCGGGAGAACAACCCAAAAACACAAACAAAACCACTCACCCTAAAAACAAAAACGGGACTCAAATGAGTCCAGCCAGGTAAGTATCCAGCCTCTTCTTAAAGATCCCCAGGGTAGGGGCCAGCACCCCCTCCCTTGGAAGTTGGTTCCAGCTCCTAGCCGCCCTGACTGTGAAGTAGTTTTTTCGGATGTCCAATCTGTACCTCCTCTCCATCAACTTGTGCCCATTATTCCTTGTTATGCCAGCAGGGGCTAGGGGAAACAGCGTCTCCCCCAAACCCTTCTGGTTCCCCCTAGTGAGTTTATAGACGGTCACCAGGTCCCCCCTCAGCCTTCTCTTGTGGAGGCTGAATAGGTTCAAGTCCCGCAGTCTCTCACTGTAGGGTCTGCCCTGTTGTCCCCGGATCATGCGGGTGGCCCTCCTCTGGACCCTCTCCATGTTGTCCACATCCCTCCTGAAATGGGGCGCACAGAACTGGACACAATACTCCAGCTGCGGCCTGACCAGCGTCTCTTAATAATTCCTAAAATTTTGTCTGCCTTTTTGATGGCTGCTGAGCACTGAGCTTATGTTTTAGTGAACTGTCCACAATGACTCTCAGATCTTGCCTGTGTGGTAACAGCTAATGAAGAGTTCGTCATAGTATAGGTACAGTTTGGGTTATTTTTGCCCATGTGCATCACTTCACACACATCTACATTAAATTTCATCTGCTATTTAGCATCTGTTCACTCAATAGTGCCAGATCCTTCTGTAGTTCTTTGCAGAAGAACTTGGTCTTTACTACTTTGAATAACTGTGTCATTCACAAATCTGGCCACCTCACTACTCACCCTCTTTTCCAGGTCATTTGTTAATACATTAAACAGCATCAGTCCCAACCATGGGGAACCCATTTACTTCTTTCCATCCAGAAAATTAGCTGTTTATATTCACTCTTTGTTTTAAGGCAATTTCTAATCCACAAATGGATCCTCCCTGTAATCCCATGGCTACTTAGCTTCACTAAGAGTCTTTAATGGCAGACCTTGTCAAAGGCTTTTTGGAAGCCAGATACACTATGTCAACTAGATCAGCCTGATCCACCTGCTTATTGACACCATCAAAGAACTCCAGAAGTTTAGTGAAGCATGATTTCCCTTTGACAAAACCATGCTAGTTCCCCCAAGTCATGTTCATCCATGTGCTAAATAATTCTTTGATTACACTTTTTGTTCTTCTACCAGCTTTCCAGGAACAGAAATTAGACTCACCATCCTGTACTTACCTGAATATTGAAGTCACACTGGCAACCTTCCAGTCTTTTGGTACTGATGCTGCTTTTAGGAGATAGGTTGCTTACTACAATTAGAAGTTTGGCAATTTCTGATCTTAGCTCCTTCAGGACCCTATAGTGAATGCCATAAGGTCCTGGAGATTTGCTACTGTTTAGTTTATCAATTTCTTCTAAAATTTCATTTATTATACCCTCAATTTGGGTCAGCTCTACTAATTTGTCCCTAATGCAGGGGCGGGCAATTATTTTGGCTGGAAGGCCGGTTAATGAGTTTTGGTGATGCGTTGAGGGCCACAAGGGTAGCCCCGTCCCTTGACAGGTGCCCTGCCTCCTGGTCACCATCTTGTGACTGGAAGTCATGCCCCTAACCCTTGACCTTTGCCACTGGGAGTCTCTCCCTTTGCCCAGAAAGTACCCCTTTTGGGGCAGGGGGCATTTTCCTTGTATATTTTTTGTGGAGGGGGGTATGGTGCAAGTACTGTGTGTGGGACTCCTGGGGGGGTGCGTATGGTGCAGTTGGTGTGTGTGGAACTTGTATGTGTGTGGCTGTGATGAAGGGGTGGGGTGTGCAAGGGGATGGGAGTGCATATGTGGGGAGGTGTAGATGTATTTGTGTGGGGTGTGGGTATATGTATGGATGGGTGTGGGATGTATGTAGGGGGTCTGGGGTGCGTCTGTGTGTGTATGTGGGGTGTGGGTATGGTGGGGTGTCTGGGACAGTGTGGGGTGTTTGCGGGTACAGAGGGAGGTGTGTGTGGGGGGGTTCCCCCCCGCCTGCTCATTTCACTGTGACTGAGCCCAGCTGCTCTGGGGGTGGGGGAAGGAGATCAGTGCTGCCTGCCTGGCTCACAGCACACTGCAAAGGGCAGGAAAGCAACTGCTGCTGGCAGGCAGCAAGAGAAGCCCCTGCAAGAGGGGAGACAGGACAGGACGCTGAGCCTGGTATCACCAGCTTTCTTAGTCTCTGTCCCGCAACTGCCCAGCAGAGCTGCAGCTGAGTCTGCACTGGCTCTTGCTCCTTCTGCTTCTCTCTCAAGTGCCTGCCCAGTACGGCTGCACCAAATGCATGTTGGCTCCTACTGCTGCTCCCTACCTCCTGTCTGTCCCTGCCAGCCCATCAGGGCTTTGTGAGTAGACCAGCTTCTTCCCCACTGCTCTCCTCCCCCTCCCAACTCCATCCACACACGCTCACCTGCCTGGCACAAGCAGGACCAGAGTGAGCTGCAGGCAGAGCCCACCCTGCTAGCCTCAACACTGCAGCTTCCCCTCCCTACCTGCTGCCCAGAGCACTGCAGCAGAGACAGGAGTAGTTGCTGGGGGCTGGCCAAGCCCAGCAGTTCCCTGGGAAGTGGCAGCATTAGGAGCCCTGCTCAGCTATGCCTGCTGGCAGGGGAGGCTGGGAGCACAGCATGCTCTGCCCCTGGCGGGACTCAGCCCCAAGCAGAGTGCAGCACAGGCAGGGCCAGGTACAATTAATTGGTGGGTACCTGCTTGTAGGCCGGATCCAATCAGCTTGCGGGCTGGTCCGGCCCACGGGCCATATTTTGCCCATCCTTGTCCAAACATCTTCCACAAAGACTGCATTTAGTTTCTTAGCAATGGTCCTGTCATCCTTGGAGCTCCTTCTTTATCCTGATCATCCAAAGGGCCAACTGACTCCCTGGCAGGTCTTTAGCTTTGAATGTACTTAAAGACATTTTTATTGTTACCTTTCATGTCTCTAACAAGTTCCTCCTCAAATTCTTTCTGAGCTTATTACAGTTTTATATTTGATATGCCAGATTTTGTGCTCTTTTTAATTTTCCTCATGAGCATTTGATTTCCACCAGGTGAAAGAAACCTTTTTTTTCAATTAATTGCCTCTGCAACTCTGTTATCAAACCATGCTTTGGTCTGCTTTTTTTTCCTTCGAGACTTGTGTTATGTATTTGCCCTGTGTCTCCAATCTGGTGTTCATAAGCAGTTCCCAATCTGCTTGCAATTTCTTCACCTTCTTTTGGGCCCCTTTTAACTGCTGTTAAACTAGCTTCCTCATTTTGATAGTCTTCCTTTTTAAAGTTATAGTGTATTAGATTTTGTTCTTGTTTCCTCTCCTACATGGATGTCAACCCAACTGCATTATGGTCACTACTGCAGAGCAGCTCAATAACATTTACCAAATATTGCACCAAATCCTGTGCACTGTTTAGGATTAGGTCAAGAATGGCCTTTCCTCCTATAGGTTTCAAGATTAAAGTGCTCCAGAAAGCAGTCTTTTATCAAGTCAAGGAATTAGGTCTCTGCATCCTGGCCCAGTCTATTTGTGGATAATTTAAGTCACTCATTATCATTGTTTTCCAATTTTGCAGCCTCTCTCAGCTCTCTTAGCATTTATAGCTTGCTGCTGCCATCCTTGTTCAAACTCTGTCAGCTGCTAAGTTTTGCAGCTGACAGCTCCTTCCTGGTCAGTGCAATTGCTTACCAAAAACGGACCCTGGTTCAGTAAGGTCAAACCCAACAGGAACGCACCAAGCCAAATCCAGCTAAACATCCCACTCACCCCTCTCAGACACTCTCCTCAGGCTTACTTAAGCCTCTCCCATGCAAAAACCCACCCCTGTTTGGGTGAACACCACACAGGAAATTTAAGTTTTGTGGGGTTTTTTAATCTTCTAGTAAATAGCTCTAACTATTGCAATTGGTACACAGGCAACGCAGCATATCACAGAACCAAGTTTCAAGATTTGCTCTTAATCATACAATTGTAAAGAAGTAGGGCAGGAAGAGACCTTCGAAGGTCATCTAGTCCAACCCCCTCCCCTGCCTGAGGCAGGATCATCCCCATCTAAACCATCCCATAAAACAATATAAACTCTATGTACAACTACCATCAAAGCTGGCACAACACAGATTTAACACTTTAAAGCAGGGGAAACATGGCAGCCAATGATCTACTTTTATGAAATGCTGTCAATATATGCTCAAAAGATCCTGGGGAGAGGGCCATACCCCTACTACAGAGGAAGGCAAAAACCCCCACAGTACATACGAACCTGACCATGGGTAAAATTCCTTCCTGACACCAAATATGGTGATCGGTCCGACTCTGAGCTGAGGGGCAAGACCCATAGTCAGGAACCTCTGGCTTTGGCACCAGCAGGAGCACTGGCACACCCCAGACAGCAAGCATTGAATCAAGAGTCAGAAACGCAACCTTAATAGCAAAGTATCGCCATTAAGATGAAAACCATTTTCCCCATTAAAAGGTGACTATAAAACACTTTCCTAACAATACTTAAATTCTAAACTATTTTACAATATAACGAAGAACAGTACCTTCATCTTCTGCAAAGAGTTTGCCTGTATCAATCAATATTAAGAGAAAAACCCAAATTTTAACTCCCATCTTCAGTGCCACCTCTACTAACAGTTCTCAGTTTTGTAAAACTACTACTTACACAACTTAAAAAAAAAAAAAAAAGACCTCAACCCCCCTCACCCACCCCAGTTAATTATTTACAAAGCTATTCAAACTAGTCTTTGGAACACAAAGGTATTTCATCAAATATATACCTTTATTATTTTTAAGTGAAATAAAAGTTAGGCCTCAGTTAAAAATCTCAATGATGAGCTATATTGAAATAATAACAGTGTTTGCTCTTACTGTGAAATTAACAAATCACAGAAACCAGCAAATTTATTAATACAAAACTAGTAACCCTAAACTCCAGGAACTTTTAGAACCATTTTGCTGTTATCAGTATATTTGTTTTGGCCGATAGGGATGGAAACAAAAAAAGAAAACTAGATTGTTGACTGGCTGCATTCTATCAGTTTGTGTACTCTGTAAGTAGGTAGGCCCAAACATACTGTTGTCATTGCCAACGGCTATCAAAGTCAGATTCTGGCCCATCCTCTCTGAACTTCTCTACCATTCAACAAAGCTAAAGCTTGCACAATTTCAGAGCTACTTTAACACCTTATGAACTGATTCACAATGTGCTATCAACATTGTAACAAGAGCTTTCTGTGTACATTTACCATGTGTAGTATTAAAAAGATGAAGAATGCAATGATCTAGTCTTTTTTGTCATTTAAATAAAAAAAATATAACCTTTCATAAGGCAAAGAAGTTGAGATTGTATTCTATGCCCTTTGCTAGAAATGTATTTATTAAAAAAAAATACAGGTCATGTACTGACGTTACCGATGATATAGCAGTGTTCAAGTTCTGTCATTTGAAGCGCAAGTCTCCCTCTGGTGGGAATCCTTATCTTAGCATTGGATGCAAAACTTAGATTGCAAAGGTAAAAGCAAACTCTTGAAAGAAAATTGAGAACTCTGCAAAAGAATTCTCTCTGCAAGAAATAAGTTACTAATACCCAAGAAGCAGCAATTCTGAGAGTGGAAGTCTTTTAAAATAGTTATAAAATTATAAAATAAGGTATTCATAAAAGCACTTATTCTCAACCTTGGCGTGCTGAGATCTTTTAGGGTGCTTGTCACAGAGCACGGAGGTGCCCTGTTCCTAAAGAGGGGAAAATGCCGGGGAAAGAGCCCTAACAGTGACTAAGGAGCCCAGCTGTGGGTTGCCAGGGCAACCAAAGAAGGTCAGCTGACTGAAAGGGGCAGGGCCTGGCTCCCATATAAAGCACAGACAGGAGGCCAGAGTCAGTTTCCTGCCAGCAGCCAGAGCAGCAGGAGCTCCCTAAGACAGGGTGCAGGAAGAAGCCTGACCGCAGGTACAGCGTATGGCAGCTCTAAGATGCTTGAGCAATGTTGTTTTAGCCAGGCGGCTTCAATTTATGTTACAGCCCAGGGGCTTGTGTTTTGTTGTTGGTTAAACTGGTGGTTTGGGTGAGGCTATTAGGGGTTGGAGGAGGCTTCATAGGGAACCCACAGTAGCGTGGGGACCCCAGCACCAGTAGGGGTGTGGTGTACAGGGTACAGAGACCCCAGCCACAGAGAGGGGGCACTGTGAGCCCCAGATAGGGGGGCAGCACGACTGAGGAGCCCAAGTGCGGCACGGCGAGCCCCAGATAGGGGGCAGCACGACTGAGGAGCCCAAGTTGGGCACAGCGGGCCCCAGACCGGGGGCAGCACGACTGAGGAGCCCAAGTGCGGGCACGGCGAGCCCCAGACAGGGGGCCGCATTATAGAGAAGCCCAAGGTGGGCACGGCGAGCCCCAGAGAGGGGAGCGCCTTGTGAGAGAAGACCCCAGAGAGGGGGCAGACTACATAGAGAAGGACACACCAACGTCAGGTACGATCCCCAGATAGGGGGGCAGCATGACTGAGAAGCCCAAGTGAGGGCACGGAGAAGGAAGGCCCAGAGAGAACAGGAAGGGGCCAAGATAGAGATAGACCTGAGTTAACATCGGCACAGTGTGGCCTGTGGTGTAGGGGAGGAAACAGAGCTGCAGACAGCACCCCCTAGCAGTGGGGCAGTATAAGGGCAGCCTCCCGCTGATTAACACTGATCAATTAATTAAGACCAAGGCATGGCAGGCGAGTAGGCGGGCGGTTGCCCCAGGGACAGGTGTGTGGGCCACATTGAAGGCGGCCCAGAGTGACAACCTGTCAGTGCTATACAATATAATATTAACACAGTGAAGTGTACAGACACCTACACATGATTCCCCAGGGAAAAAAAACACCCTTCCCCCCCCCACCCCCAATAGAAATACATGGGGTCAAAAACATCCTGACTTATCTTTCTGAGTTCTTTGCAACATAAGAATTGCACTATTATTTTTCTGTAATCAAAAACCAAGTAAAAGCCAAAGGGTGCTCTGCATCTAAAAAACTTGAGAAGCACTGCTCTAATGCAATGGGAGCCCATCTTTTTGGCAGGTGGGCCACAAATTAGTCCCTCCACCTCCTTAAGTGTCACTCTAAACTCATTCCCCCCCTGCCTGATTTACTTCTCTGCTTCTTTCGCTGTGTATCCTACCTGATTTTTTTGGATGAATGGACTGTAAAGTGGATAGAAAATTGCCTGGATCCTTTGGCTCAGAGAATACTAGTCAATGGCTCCATGTCTAGTTGGCAGCCAGTATCAAATGAAGTGCCCTAAAGCTCAGTCCTAGGGCTGGTTTGTTCAAAATCTTTATCGGTGTCCTGTAAGATGGGATGGACTGCACCCTCAGCAAGTTCACAGGTGACACAAAGCTGTGGGGAATAGTGAATATGTTGGAGGTTAGGACTAGGATTCAGAGAGACCTCAAAATATTGGAAGACTGGACAAAAAGAAATGTCATGAAGTTCAATAAGGACAAGTGCAAGGCCCTGCAATTAGGATGGAACAATCCCATGCACCACTACAGGCTGGGAACCAATTGGCTAAGCAGCAGCTCTGCAGAAAAGGACCGGGGAGTTACAGTGGACAATAAACTGAATATTAGCCATCAGTGTGCCCTTGTTGCAAAGAAGGCTAACAGCATACTGAGCTGCATTAGTAGAAGCACCATCATGAGATTTAGGGAAGTAATTATTCCCCTTTATTCTTCACCGATGAGGCCACAACTGGAGTACTGTGTCCAGTTTTGGGACCCCCACTACAGAAAGGATGTGGACAAGTTGGAGAGTCCAGCAGAGGGCAACAAAAATGGTTAGGTGGCTGGTGTACATGACTTCCGAGGAGAGGCTGAGGGAACTGGGTTTATTTAATCTGGAGAAGATTGAGGAGGGATTTAATAGCAACCTTCAATTACCTGAAGGGTGGTTCCAAAGAGGATGGAGATAGATTGTTCTCAATAGCGGCAGGCAACAAAACAAGGAACAATGGCCTTAAGTTGCAGCAAGGGAAAGTGAAGTTAGACATTAGGAAGAATGTTCTTACTAGGAGGTTAGGAAAGCACTAGAACAGAGAAGTGGTGGAATCTCCATCCTTGGAGATTTTTATGACCTGGCTAGACAAAGCCTTGGCTAGGATGATACAACTGGAGATGGTCCTGCTTTCAGTAGAGGGTTGGACTAGATGACCTCGTGAAGTTCCTTCCAACCCTAATTTTCTATGATTTCTGGCCTATCTTTTGCTATGCTGCCTGTCCCCTCCCCAATCTGCCATGTACCTCACATAGAGGCTGCCCCTACCATTTGTAGCACTTGTGCCACAGATTGGCCACCGTTTTACAGTCACCTCAGGCATATCACCAGCTTTTCTGTTATGCAAGTGTCCACAGATTGTGGTGTAAGAAGATCAAGACATCTTACATATATCCTGTTCTGGAGAATATGACCTTTGATGATTATGAATGGGTGTCTTAAGAGATAAAGTACATGTTGATGTCTGCAAAAAACCACAAGGTACCCAAAAGCATATGTTGACTAGCTCTGCACCTATTCATAAATGTGAAGGGAAGAGAGATCTATTATCATAGGAAACTTCAAATCAAGTAGCAAATACAAGGTTTTACACTCCTGACATTAAAACTTACTCATATTTTCTAAAAATGACTGTATTCTCTCACATACAATATACTTCCAAATAAAAGATGCATCTGTTGGGTTTTTTTTAAGGCAGAATGTAGAAATAGTATTTTTCCAGAGTCATGGCTATGTGATACAGAGTAAGTCCTCCCAGAGTGTCCAGGAACTGTGGCACTAGGAAATTCATAGGAACTTCTTGATTCTGGCTGCCTCATCCAGACTGTCTCCCAGGAGCCACACTTCCTGGACACTTAATGCTTCTGGGAGGAGTTACTCTGTGTCACATGAGATTAGGTCCCAGACACTCACAAGGGCAGTAGCAAGACTTAGTTCTTTACTATAAATAGATCTGTATATAAACTTCTATAAATAATGTTCCCATATTACAAGCCTCATTAAAAATACTACCAGCAGCTCACTGGGTGTTTCAGGCACAAGCTATAGCGCTCAATCAATACCTATAGCTGTGAAAGGATTAACACAACTCCATCTTTTTGGCAGCTGCATGGCCTGCAGCATCTCCTGGTTTGCTTTTCTTTCAAAGAAAAAACTTCCCCACTTAAAACATGCACCCAAATTCCGGGGACTATTTTTTAGGAAAAAGATGCATGTTATATGTAAGAAAGTATGGCATATACTTTTTTAATTAGGGAAGAAAAGAACAATTCACATGATTAAAGTTACTAATAACTAAAGGCCTTCGATTATGGTTCCAAATATCACCAGGGCCAGTGAACAGGCCAGTACACAGGAAAATTTGAGTGGGAATTTGACTGGGGAGTTTGCCCAGGCATTTTCTTACCCTTCCTTCACTGTAAGCTTGCTGAGTGGAAGCAGGCAAGGAGGAGGGAATTTTCCAAGAAGTACCTGTCATAGAAGAAGGAACTAGCAAAATTAGTCAGGAGGATCAAAAGGATGGCTAGAAGATGCTGCAATGTCAAAACCCTTGCTGCTGCCAGCACTTCCTTTGTTTGT